ACCGACGGGGACTGGGCGGTGTCGCCCCCTCAAAGCTCCCCAAACCCTGATTGCCCGGCCCCACTGAAAACCTGCTCCCCTCTCAATGCTGCTACCGCCAAGAAAGATGCTCCAAACTCCTCGTCGGCGCTGTGGAAAGCCGGCGATCCACCGCCCTGCAGCTCCCCCGCCGTGTCCCCCTCTTTGAAAGCCACCCACCCGGGCTCCCCTTCCAAGTTCTCATCGCCGCAAAGAAGGCGGCAGCGGGCATGCTCGGCACTTTCCTCTGTAGCGAAGCTCACCGTGGACGCGCCTCCGTCCGTGCCGCGCCGCTTCGCTTACCAGCACCCGTACCACCCTGAACCCTGGACGCCTGAGTCACCTGTCCTACTGCTACTGTCGCGCTTCTCCCACGCCGCCGACCCCAGCCCCTTCCTGGTCACCTCAGGCACTGTGCGGGGCTTGCTGTGCTACCTCAGCCAGCACCAGGACCCCAGCAGCCGCTGTTTCCGCCTGCTGTGCCGTCTCACCTGCAACCCCAGCTGCCTCCGGGCGCTCCTGCGCACCGGGGCTGTGGCGCTCATTCACCACCACCTCTGTCAGAGGGACGGCGGGGCCAGGCGGCAGCAAGAACGGGTCGGAGCCAAGGTCAAACAGCTCGGTAAGATGTTGACTTGTCAGCTTGATTTTCAAAGTTTGAAAAATGCCTGTTAGGAGACATGCAAATCAAGAATATGGAGCGTTACACTTAAAAGTAGTTGATTTATTTTTGACATATTTTTTTGTTATTCTTCGACTCAAAAATTTTTTTTTCTTCAGGTGTGACCCTCCTCAACAATCTGCACGTCCAGTGCGAGTCGGCGTTCGGCGCGGGGGTCCTCGCACACGTCATGCTGTCGGGCTCCGAGTCGGACCGAGTGAACTGTGCGCTGTCTCTGCCTTTAATCAGCAGGTGAGTCCTCTTGGAACTGCTAAAAACAGCCGTTACCAGGTCACTTTCCTATGTCCTGAAGCTTCGTGTCTCTCCGCTGGATCGCCAGGGAGACAAACACAATAAATGTCTTGTTTTGCTCTCTCTCGGGGACAGCAATAATGCTCCTGGGTCAGTTTGACGAACTGAATATGTGAATGTAACCGTCTTTGTTGAGAAGCAAAAATGTCATCTGAAAAAAAAAAAACACTACTTAAACTGACGTACTATACTTTCTTTTAAAAAAATCTATTTAAATATGATGCCAATACATCAGAACTATAACAGATACAGTATAAAATAAGTAAAAGAGTAGAACGGACAAATAATTTGCAATGTCTTCAATTCACGGAATACATTAAATTCAGTTAAAGAATATAAATTAAACTGAATACAATCAAATAATGGTTCAGTAAAATCAAATGTGAGGTGCATCACTAAATTTTGTCACAAAATTGGTAAACACTGTGAAGCGTCCTGCAGAATAATGTCTTTGCAGACTTTGTCCACTAGAGGGAGCCCTAACACAATTCAATCCCTGAAACAATGACGTAGTTTTTCCAGTTCTGGATGGCCGTGCCAAACACGCCATCATGAAGGGACCCGAAATTTATTCTATTCGATGAAACGGTTATCAGAATTCTTGTACTTTTTTTTTCTCCCAAACATCGTTGAACCTTTGAATTAATTAACCTAGTCAGTCAAGATCCCACAGTAATTGTCATACCTTTTTCCGACAGCAACAAGTTTCTGTTGAGGAAACTCCTCCTGGACTCCGGCAGCCTCCTCTTGGCCTTGCAACCTCTTGGTTGCCTTGACGACACGGACGCCCACACCGCCGATTGTAGACGTCTGCTTTCCACCTGGCCGGACGCCTCGCTCCACTCGCTCTACTTCTCCCTCCTGATTGGATGCTTGTCTCCACTCGTATCCAACATCAAATTGCGACCTGATGCCGGACGCCTGATTAAACTTTGTCAAGCTGACTCAATGGCTCCACCTCCAGCTAAGAAGCCTCGCCAAGCTCACATCTGCACATACGCCTCATCCGACTTTGACCTCCTGCTGGTTCTGGATGATGGGGCCGAGGTCCCAGCCAACAAAGAGGCCGTCGCCGGGTCGGGCTCAGAGTACTTCAGGGCTTTGCTAAAAGGTGGCTTTGGGGAAGCCAAATCCGGACAAGCCATCCGCATTAAAGACGTGACTGAAGGCATGTTGGTCCCGGTGTTGCACCACCTGCACGGATGCCGGCTGGCAGCATCGAACCAGACTGAGGAGTGCCAGTTTTTGGACTCGTTGATACTCGAGGGGCTGGCTTGCTGCCAGTCGGATGAGCCGTCCTTCCCGAAATCTCCGTTAGGGGAGACCATGACGGGAGCGTGCAGATTCCTGGCCACGGAGCTTCAGAGAGAACTGGAGGGGCTCTGCGTGGCTTGTCTCCTGTCTGAAATGACTGCGGCAAGCCCCTCAGGAGGAGACCAAGACACCACCGAGGAGCAGCTGGCCAGCAGGACATCCGAACTGGACCTGACGTGCGTTCAACTGCAAATCGAGACTCTGTTAGAGAAGAGTGTGAAAACAACTTTCTTAAACAAAAGAGAGAGTAAAAACATCCCAGCAAGGAAAGTTGATGCTGTTTGTCAAATTAAAAGTTTGAAACCCTGCGCAGAAAAGGAGGCGGCAGAGTTGAAAATGAAAAGCTCAGCTCAGCTCTTCAAAGCAGAACTTCCGGACTCCCTCGAACCCCTGGAGGAAGAACCAGAAAAAGGTACGAGAGGGGTCCCGGCTGCCCTTGTGCCGCAGATGTACTGCTTCGCGCAGCGCCACAATTACCCAGCGCTGCGTCGGGCCTGCCTGACGCTGCTGCTGGGCTGTCGGGAGGCGGGGCGGCGGCCGTGCTTCTCAGGCCGCGAGGCAGCCGTCTGCCTGCGAGAGGCTGCCGGGCAGGCCGACTGCGTTGACACGCTCAAGCAGGATCTTCTCAGTCTGGCTGCAGACGTGCTAAGCTGAGAACCATCGGAAAACCTGTATGCATGTTTTGTTTTGTTTTACTTTTGGGAGACTGCTTTCTTTTTTTCACACATGTTCAAGGTGTACCCAAAAATTGACCTGTTCTTTGACTGGCCATTAGTTTGCTTTAGGTGTTTATTGTCTTAGATACAGGCGGAGGGGGGGGGGGGGGGCATTTAAGATAATTGAATGACATGAAAGAAAACATCACAACTGCAAAAATTGAGCTTGGAGCCTCACCTCGATGTAAATAGCAAAAAATGCACAATTGATGCCTCACTAAAAAGGGTTGTAATTGGCCATAAATGCCACAAGATGGCGGCTAATAGCTGATGCCAGAGGTTTTGACATAATTTCAAAAGGTTTCATTTGAAGTTGTGAGACATTGTCTTCTTATTTCTGCTGTCATCAACAGTCGCTGATGTTGCAACTTGAAGATTCTTTGAAATTTTGAGGGAAGTTTTTGGGAATGTGCGGGGAATTTAACGCTACCTCAATCCATCGATGTAATTTTTTGAGATATTAGAAATTTTACTTTATTTTCTTTTGCCATAAGTTAATTGTATGTTCATATTATTATTTAGGATTTGTTGCACCTTAAACAAAACCATGAGTAATGGGCAGTCAAAGGTGTCGGTAAATTTTATGGGGACACTGTTGATGCATTCTAGCTCATCTCACCGAATCATAATTGGCTATGATCAACTGTACTGTACTTCCGTTTTGTTTTTGGATCGTCCTTAGTTCAATTTTGTTTGGTTGTTTCTTTCACGAGACATGTTCTGTCTCGGTTGCCTTTGTTTCAAGCTGTTTTCCTGGAAGTACTGGGACAATCAGGGTCATGTCTTGTTTATTTTGTACATAGAGATCAAATGGAGATTTCACCTGTGCGATATCAACTTCATACCACTGAAATATAAAGATTTACGACACATGCTATCCAATGTTGCTTGTTTTATGTACATAGATATCCAAGGACATGCATTCATTCCTGTGCACGAGTAATTCAATACGAAGGAAGCTGACTTGCCGAACTATATAACATTAATAATTTCAATCGGCACTGACGCAATGTAAGCCGCCTAGTCCCTGTTGAAGGTGCCATCTGCGCTGGAGTGGGAGATGGGGAAAGTCATCACATCAGAAACCAATAAATTTGAAAGACGAATAAAAGAGGCAATTGAAATAAGGTGGCGTTGCATATCTGTGGTCTGTGCCATCTTCACCTGTCGGAAGCAAGTGACTGGCCTCGCCCAAGGTAAGACATTCGCCCTTCAGTAAAAGCACCGTAAAGATTCCGATAACTCACTTTCGGTGGTTTAGGTAATTCTGGTGGCATATAAACAATTTTCTTGTGAAGAATGTTATATATAATAACAATGACGTCTCGTAGGGACGCACGAAGCAACATTCAGACGCTAACCGGGGCTAGTTGCTAATGTTAGCACAGTGTTGTGAACATGAACTACCCATACATTTTTGTACATATAGCCTTTCTTAAATTGTTTAATATAATTTTATTTTTGAGCCATTTTATTGTTGGTATGATATCTGTACAGTGTTAAAAACAATTGGCTTGTAACTAAGTCACTGTATGAAACCGTTTTAAAAAATCTGACAACGAATGTGTTAGCTGTCTTTTTGTGCCAATGTGTTCATTTGGAAGTCTTCTGTACAACAAGCTACATTCTACAATCACTATGAATTGTCTAAAACAAAAGTAAAAGGCAGGTAGGTGTTAAGTCTTACACTGTACATAAGTAAATGTTTAAAAAAAAATTAAAACCATGACAAATACACACATTTATTGCAACTAATACTGTATTGTTGTAAATGTTTTACAAATCAGCGCAAATTGTGGAAGTAGGAAATATTAAAAATCCATTCAATTGTAAATGCTCATTTTAAAAGCAATTAACAATTTTAAATCATTAAATTGGTTTAGTCAGCCCGCAACTGCTTGAAGCAAGGGTGTCTTTAAGTGCTCTCTCCAGATACTGGTGCAATGATTTGCTGAAAAAAAACAAACATGAGATGACACTTACATTTGTGCATAAGATTTCTTTATTTTTATTTATCTTTATTTCAGTGCAAGGCATCACTGTGCGGCTGGAAGGCCCCTCAATGGTGGGAGCTCTCGTAACCGTCTGGCAAAGGGTTGGTGTGAGCATTGTGGAACAGTGAGTGGTTACCATCGCCCCATGGGAATTTCTGTTGGGCAACAGTGATAAGTGATGTCTGAGTATTGTGATAAATCTCAGAGCGATGTCGTACAAATAATGCAGAGGGAGTGTCAAGGGGCCGCTCACCTTGGTGCGGATGCGGAGGTGTTCGTAGGGCACAAATTCCGGCTGCTCGTGCGAGTGCGCCTGCATTTTCATGTAGGCATTGGCCATGCACACGCTCACGCCGGGCAAGGCCAGCACAAAGGTCAGGATCTTCCAGGTCCTCGCTGCGGAAAGGTGGGGAGAATGAATGACATTTTTTTCATGATGGATTCAGTGTGAATGACTGGTAAGGAACAGGAATGTTGACTGCCGGCTTTAAAGTTCATCCTCAGCTACAAGGTGACCTCTAATGTGTTGTACACTGAGAAATCCTACTTGTGTCATTCTCCATTTGCTGTATATAAGGTTAATTATTGCTAATGCAGGTGAGTCGCAATGCAGATGTGCCACAAACATTTTTTTTTAACATTCTTAGATGTCATAACAAAAAAAAAAACAATGGTGCTTCATTTTCTTTGACAGCAAGTGACAAAACGTATAATACTGAAGTTCCTGTGTTTATTCTTCTCAACAGCTGCATCTTATTTCAGAATAAATAAAGCCAAAGAATCCGTTGACGCTCTGGTGAGGACATTGTTTTTAAATTCTGATTTGTAATCTGTCACAGGGTTTTGTTTTGTTTTTTTGTGAGTGCAAAGACGTTCTAACCTCCTCCGTCATGGCTCGAATGCGACGCGGCGGCAAGCACCCTCCGAGCGGCCGACAACGACATCTGCGGACAGACCGACCACAGTTTGCTCGGTAAGACATGATGACACAGTCTTGTTTACGTCTGTGTTATGCAGACTCATAGGAACAATCGTTTCTTTCTCTTTTTAAACATGCATATCAGTAAAGAGAGGTTTGTAATGAGTCTTTTGCGGAACTTACTGTTGTTCAGGCAGTCGATATATTTAATAGTCTTTATTTTTCCTCGCAGCACGCCTGTTGCTGGCTTTACCTTTCGTCTCCTTCCTGCTTGTTTTGTCCTTCAGTCTGTCCTGAACTGAACCTACTGCAGCAGGCTCCTCCCTACTCTCAAACTGTCGCTGTGCCAAGGAACGTCGAGTTTATATTAAACCAAGTGCAGCAGGCCCACTGATATGTGAGCGAGAAGGAATGGAGGAGGCGTGACTCTGCCTCAGGACGCTTCATAAAAAGATCTATGCGGTATCGATTTTTTATTTATTTATTTTTTTAATTCTCACATGACTGTAAATCTTTGATGAAACGCAAAGTCAGACATGTAGGTGAGGAAATTAGTCAATGGAAAAATGTTTAGTACCACTTGTGTCACTTAGGCTAGATTTACACTGCAGGGCCAAGTACCCAATTCCCACTAAATGCCTCCCCTCTATCCAATTTTGAAATTCTTCTTTTTTTTAATCATTTCCATTTCAAGACCCACATGCACATGAGCTTAAATTTCCTGAAAAAAATGACACAAGTGTCAACTCAACTCACCTCAACTCAACTCAGCTGTATTTATAGAGCACTTTAAAACAACCACCGCTGTATACAAAGTGCTGTACATGGAGCAAAAACGCTTTCATACAACAACAATCAAAGAATAAATTAACAACAAAGAGTGTAGAAAGCACAAAAAATGTAAAACTAAAAATCAAGTCTCATGCTGAATCAAAAGCCAAAGAATAAAGATTCGTTTTAAAATGGGGCAACGAAGGGAGGCTTGCCTCACAATCAGCGGGAGGTCATTCCAAAGGTAGGGACCAGCAATGGAAAAGGCTCGATTCTCCTCTGAGCCTCAGCTTCGTCCTCAGTACTGTACCTCTAATGGTCAGACCCGAGGTGGGGCGGAGGAGGATATAATCAGGGGTAGAAAAATCAGTTCTAAAAACATTTGAAAGCTGCAGTGCGGCATTTGCGTAGGACATTACTATGTGTCTCCACTAGTCTACACGCGTACCTCTATTACCTGTGGTATAAGATTCAAGCAGGTTAATTCTTTGTTTTCATCCATCTCTGGAGGTTTGTTGTTTTAGCCTTATATCGCCCTCTGCTCTCGTCCAAAATAGATGTGCAAGTGCACAAGGTCTCGCAACAGGTGAACGTTGAATGTTTTTGCCTGTGGGATACCATGGCATACTTAGATCAGTTCATCCAAGATTTAAAAAGGCACGTCCATCCCTTTTACATTATTTTCCATATAGCCGTAAAGTAGCCTTATAACTATGGACAAGACCACACATTCCACTTCAAACTGCTTCGTGTGTGACATTTTTCTGTCCAAGTAAATTATAAAGACAGATGACCGGATTTTCCTGCCTGTATTTCAGTGTTTAATCTTGTTTTTTTTTTTTTTTTTCACATCGTCAGCGCTGCTTTTGTTGCCTGCACCTGGCCAATCTCAAACCCGCTTGAGTCAGCCACAAGTGCTGTCATGCAAATCGTCAGTCTGACCGCCTCCCGAATGTTATTGTGGGAAGCAATGTCGTCGCCATCTCGGCACGGGCCAACCTTTCCATGGGGTGCAGGTGTTCTGCAGAAGTCGCTCGCTCGTATTTTTTTTCCCCCTCCTTTTCTGAATGTAAACCTTCGAGAAATACGCATTTTCATCTACCCCATTACGAACTCCCTGATCAACTAGTTCAATTAAAACCACCAGGTTCTATTCATTCATTCATTCATTTTCCAATCCGCTTAATCCTCACAAGGGGCGCGGGGGGTGCTGGAGCCCATCCCAGCCGTCTTCGGCAGTAGGCGGGGGACACCCTGAACCGGTTGCCAGCCAATCGCAGGGCACACCGAGACAAACAACCATTTGCGCTCACACTCACACCTAGGAACAATTTCAAGTGTTCAATCAGCCTGCCATGCATATTTTTGGAATGTGGGAGGAAACCGGAGTACCCGCAGAAAACCCACGCAGGCCCGGGGAGAACATGCAAACTCCACACAGGGAGCCCGGAGCAGGGATTGAATCCACGACCTCAGCACTCTGAGGTCGACGCGCTAACCACTGGACCACCGGGCCGCACCAGGTTCTATTTGGTCATAAATCTCTCTTGCTCTGAACCACTGTCGCGTCTTGACGGAGTTCCAACAGCGAGTCTACGCTTCAATAAGCGCAACGCTAATATTGATCTCGTGCAGCAGGCGGTCAACGCTGACTAACACAAGCATAAAACGGCCTGTAAAGATTTTACTGAGGTGAAGAAAATATTAGAGTTTTCATTTGCTTCAGTTTCGGGCCCAACTGGTTTGCTTTTGAAATAGAATTTGAACTCTACAAATATTACAAAATAAAGACACTTAACAGTATTTGGATGACACCACGAGTTCTAAGATGACAAGGCGTTACTCCCTTGTAATTTTTGTCATTGGCTAATGGCTTTAAGGGCGCATCAGGACAGTTGTCCCGTGTGTGTCCACATTTTGCCTTGTATCCCTAATAGGAAAGACCACCGTGAAACTAGAATCCAGATGAGTGTCCAGATGCCCTCCCCTGCTTACAATCTCCTCCGTGGCTAAATGAGCCAACACAGTCCGCCTTTGTCCCGCCGAGCCTCTCGGCAGCCGTCGCCTCGCGCTGCAGGAAGAAGGCAGCCGGTCCTTCGGGATGGCGGCGTGGCTTTTATTGCCGAGCAAAGGTGCACAGACAGACAAATGTTTAGAGGGTGAACCGACGGCCTGGTGAGTCAGACGGGGGTGATGTTTTGGTCTTGTGTTACTACCTCCAAGGAAGACGATGCGGTGGTCCAAAGTCAGCTGGATGACAAAAAAAAAAAAACACGAGAGTGCACGCTTTCGAGGCAGAACCTTAGAGCTGATCCGGTCAGACAACATAAATGTGACCTAAAGAAGTCATAAATGCCATCACGGGCCTATGCTTCTTGTTCGTAGTCTCAACATTTGATCACAAGAACCTCTTGTTGCCATGGAAACCCCTTTACGATATCATTTTTTAAATAGATTGGCTTGGCATGGACGCTCCCATCTTGTCGACTGATGTGAGCCCACAATTGAAACCTTTGAAACTCACCTTATTTGCACTTTTCAAATCTTGTGCTACAATGCTGCTTTTGCTGGTGTTGCGACTGGTGAACGTGAGGTCTATTTTGGTGATATTGTTTGGTATGTTGCGTATTTAACCAAACCGCATAATGGACTTTCTTAATGCTAAAACACATTGCAAAAGTGTAAAGGTGAGCTCACAAAATGACTAATAGTTGTAGTCCTTTAAGTGACAAACAATGAAACAATCAGAGATGGGCACTTTACTCTATTTTGCCGGTCCGTCCTCCGTCTGCGACCTGGCTAACCCTTCCGTCATTCCCCCTCCGTCCTTATTCATATAATAATCGTCCTCCGTCCTCGTCCTTTTAAAGCCCTTCAGTCTCAAAACTGCGATCGATGGTCACCCAAATTTATGTTGACATCTTAATGCTCACGTCAACCTCTGAACATAATAGAATGATCACCCACATATTCGGGATTTTAGGGTGTTTTCCTCTTCATAGAGGCGCTCACCACAAAGCTGATGTCACTTCACGAGAGAAACATATGTCGTCCATAAAATACAAAACGCATGACATGTCTCGCAACATTACACAATGATCAATTTTGAAAAATGTGCAGGACTCTCCTCTGCAAACATTGATAAGCAACTCAACATTAGTATTTCACAACAACAAAAAAATGTTACTATGATAAAATAATAAGAAGAATAATAACTTTCAGAAATCCTAGCCATCAGCATGGTGGGCGGGTACCCAGAGACATACAACAGAGCCAGCTTTCTTAACCGGCTGGACTGATCGTTAGTGAAATGGGTGTCTGGAGGCACTTTATGTTCTCTGACTTTACACTAGGTGGCAGTGTTGCTATAAAAATATTGTTGAGATGAAATAGCCTGTCAAGAAAATACGCTGTTTGGCTACATTCTGGCTTTGTTATTTTTGCCTCACGTCACCACATACTTAAACCGGTAAGGGACGATAAAAGGGCCAGAAAAAAAACTACTTCCGTCCTTGCTTAATCCGTCCTTTAAAAAAAAAAAACTTCACGTCCTCTGTCCAAAAAATGGGCGTCCGTTCGGGACGGAACGCCCATCTCTGGAAACAATACGCACACGCATAGATTAATATCAATATCCTACTAGTGCACTGAATTGTCCATGTACTAGTATGCCCTTTATCCTCACTACTAAGGCAATTCAACGCTAATAAAGCAACTTGTACGCATGAGTAGAACAGCTACTTGTTACTACTGGGCTAAACGGTGCCAGTTGATGACATGTTACAAGTACTACCAATGACATCATAAAATGTTCCTAGTTAACATCTAACGTGCCACTAGTAGTCGTAGTAGCTTGCAAATAACAACTAGCGTACAGTTTTGCCTTACTCGTGACATGTTGTTCTACTAGTGCGCAAAAAGTACAATATACAGTACTTTCTGTGTGACTGCAAATGCTTTATAATGGAAGCCAAAGCCACAGACACTCTGTATTTCAGCGTAAGCGAATCCGTCTTCAACGTGGCCTGACTGTGCCAGCACCGAGGGCAGGTACCGCTCAGTGGGAGGAGTAGGATTGTGGATATAAAAGACCTCGAAGGGATGCCACATTCACTCATTTGATTCATCCATCTTTTGGGTGCCCTCCTCCGTCATGTGGTGTCCATCTCTTCTTCACGCCTCGCTGCTCCTCTGCCTCGCCAGGCAAACCCTGCAAGGTGGTAAGTAAAAAAAAAAAAAAAAAACACTTTGAACTAAAAACAAATGTCACAGAAACTGTCGAAAAATATTTATCCATCCATCCATTTTCTAATCCGTTTCTCCTCACGAGGGTCGCGGGTGTGCTGGAGCCGATCCCAGCTGTCTTTGGGCAGTAGGCGGGGTACACCCTGAACTGGTTGCCAGCCAATCGCAGGAAAAATATTTATTCTTTGTATACTTGATATTTTTTCATAAATGTACGACGGCCATTGAAGGATAAAACAGTTAATGTATACCTGGTTGTTATTAAAAGTTTTTTTTCTTTTTTTTTAAATCTCAGTGATTCTTTCCTAGCTCAATAAATTTGAAAAATACCTACTTCTATGCTTCAAAGGTGCTTTATGAATATCAGCTATAGTTCGTATTAATTTTGAATGAAATGGTTGCCACGGCAGCAAGCCCCGCCTGTTCTATTTCATCAGTACACAGTGGGATGATTTATCTCCCGAAGCTGTCATGAATCGGCGCCTTCAGTGGCTGCCTCTCACCTGCGTGTTAAAAATCGCTCCACTGTACTGCGCTTTGAATCGTTAATATCACTTTGATCAAAGGATTGACGGGCACGGGTGAGAGGAAATTTGGCGAGTGCATGTGAGAAGAAGCGGCAGGCTCTACACAGTCGCCTCTTTTGTTGATTTTTATTTTTTTTAATCGTCATTTTCAGTGAATGCCTCTTTCAATGTGACTATTCAGAACATAGGAAGTCAAGTCCAAAGTATTGAATGTGGTTATTATTTATTGTTTTCGTTTTTCAGGGGTGAAAGCTCATAGCATGTCTTGGAGGAGGATCATGCCAGCCAGAGGTATAGTCAATTTTAAATACTGTTTCTCTGTCTATTTCCTCAGAGGGGAGAAGGCTTCTTTTGGGCGAACATTAATTAGAGGGGAGACCTTTTATTTATTTTGTTTTTGTTTTTTCTCCAATTGGAGAAGGGGTTGTAGGTCACGGTAATCCAGATGTTTTTTTAAAATATTATTTTGTATTAATATGAGCGACCATGTGCTTCATTCGGTGCTGCTGTTTTAATTCCCAACAGAACTTAGCAGTTGTCTTTAAACTAAGATATATATACTCTTGCCATCTGTTTTTATACCTGATGGGAAAAATGTGGCATCTACTTCTCTTGAATGGATGAAGAAATAGTTGGGGACTAACTGACCAAACACAATATGCTAAAAGTGTTGAAAACGCTTTCATCTGCTCTGTAGGTGTCGGCATTGGAACCAAAGGCGGTGAGTGCATTTTAGTTTTTTTTTGCACATATTCATCTGCACACCCTGAAAATTGTGAGAGATGTCTGTCATCTTTGGATATATTGTCCTAGTGAACGGTGCCCACGGAGCAATGGGGAGCAGATATGTCAACAAACCGTTGAAGGCTGGAGGTCTGTGTCATTTTCTTTGTGACTTGATAAATGTGCTTTATCTGAGTGTTGAAATTGCAAAAAAAGTGACACCCATGTTTAAATGCTTTTCCTCTGTTCAGTTGGCCATTACGCCGTTCCCAGTCCACTTGGTGTCAGTAAGTGATCGTTATCATCAGCAAAACAAGAAAGTCCTCCAAAAATGAAATCATTTCGCAGTCTAATAAGATCGCCAAATATTACTCAAACGAGCTCCCGTTTTAACGAAATGTCTACAAACAACATTTAAACGTGAACTGGAGTTGGTGTTCTCTGTTTTCAGGGAAATGAATGACATTGACTAGCTATGAAAATATTTTCTCTTTAGAACAGTGGTTCACAAACTTTTTATACTGAGTACTACATCATAAAATATTTGTTATATATGATAGTAAGGCAAAAATAGAAAGTCCATCAAACAAATTCTTGTTTTCCTAGTGGGCTACCAACCTCTTGGACAAGGGTTTGTACCTGGACGATTTCCCGCCTATGGAAACCCTGGACTCTATGGTATTAAGGCATATCATTAGCAGAGCGATTAACTTCTCTTGGTTACTGCGTGAGATGACTGCAAATGTTTTTTCTTTTTTTTTGCAGGTGGCAATCTTGGCACGGGCTTGCCACTGGGGCACGCACCTGCAAATGGCCACGGCTTGGGCCACGGAGGCAATCGCGGTAAGAAGAGCCTCGTTGGAGGTCTTGCAGCGCTTTCCCCAGCGGCATCTTTGGGGAAATTATGCAAAATCATTTGACGTTGCGAGTAAAAAGTGTTTTGTTTTGTTTATTGTGGGGGGATTTTACAGTTTATGGCGTCAACCCTGTTACAGGTAAGCCGTTCAGTTCATTTTTGTCACATGTTTTTGTCCATATGTCAGAATTGTTCATCTTTCTATATTATTTCCAGGATTTGCCCCTTATGCTGGCATGGGCTACCCCGCCGTCCGACCAGGTACTAGAACCACTTCATCTGAACTCTGGGACTTTATGAAAGATATCTGGAGGTTGGCTGCAGAGCAATGTTTTTACTGTGGAAAAGGGATTCATCCATTCACTCATTTATTCACTCATGATGTCATTTTTATGCACAAAAAAATCCATGAAAACTTCTTGGTTCTGAGCTCATTTAACACAGCGACATGGAACATATGTGAGTTTGTATTACCCCTGTTTATGCAGTTTATTTCACATCAGGGGTCACTTTGGGTTTACAACGACCCATCAGCTCTCTGGCAACGTGGATGCCGGTGCTTGCAAGGTGCATGTGATGACAGGCGTTGCTCTGACGGCGTGGGATGAACACGTTTTGCATGATGGTATGTCGTCCACCCCCCGTCAGGTGTTTCTGCGGCGGAATTGGGACGATTGGAGGAGGCTGCCCGTAGCCAGGCCGCTCAGGATCCGAAGAGAGCAAAGAACCGAGCGCTTGGAGGACCAGAAGAATCTGGAAGGTCCACCATGGGCACAAGAAGTGGCAATGGTTTTGGATCTGAAGTGATGTCAACTGGAAGTGGACTCAAAATCCTTGACCCAAAACCAAAGATGTCAAGTCTTGGACCAACCACAAGGGATTCAAGTCTTGGTCAGGCGATAGGAGGTGCTCCTGAGCCTTCAGTCCTCACTCATGGAGAAAGACAACCACAGTCTGTGGGTAAAGACAAGCTCCAAAAATTAGCTTCTGCGGCTTCTCCAGCACAGACCGCCAGAAACCACGGTTCTGCTCGTCCACAACGCCGGAAAAACAAAAACTGTGGATCCCTATATTCGCCAAACAATCACCGTGAGCTATCCAGTTCTGGGATGACACCAAGATTAGCGCCTAATCTTGCTCGTCAAGCTCCAACACCTGATCAACATCGACTTCTATCATCCCAAGACGCTCGCTTACAAACTCCCACATCTAGAATCGTTTTATCTTCCGAACAGAAGAATCCAGATGTCCCAAATCAACAAATCAGTGGCACTTTGGGCAAGCAAGTGTCGAATCCTCAAGTGCAGGAAAGCCAGAGAAATATACCTTTGTCTCCGGAAACAGGTTTCAGTCTTGCTCAAGCGAGAGTGCAAGAAGGTAAAAAAAAACCTTTCAATAATTTGGAGTTTCAGCAGATCACTGAAAAGGATTGATCTCCTCAGGCCCTCAAGGAAGGACTTAATTGTCCTCGTTTTCATCCTCCTGCTTTCAAAGAGCTTCAAAATTCAAGCCAACGGGGCTAGATTATTTCACAAGTGTTTCTGTCAAATTACTGAACATTCCGAGTTGCAGGGGCGGGGCTAAAATCTGCCCCTTCTGTAACTGCCGATTGATGTCACAAGATGGTGGCAAAGCACAACATGAAACTTGTCACCTAACTTCAATACGGTTCCTTGGCAACGGAAAGCCGCGAGATGGTGCCAAGTTGATACTGTTTCACTTGTATGTTGTACGCAAGTTAGTACCCTGGCGGAGTTTCTCAGGCGTGTGCCACACTTTAAACAGGCACATTTTAATAGGACTCAAATTAAACTATGGGGTTCATGAGAATATCACAATCATTCCATACCATACGGGATAACGTTGAACAATGAATATTCCATCTACATTATGAGGTTGAGCTTGTATCATCTACTTTTGGTTTTATTTAGTCCATGGGAATGCTTACCTTAAAAATGCCGACCAGCTTCCATTTAGTTTCGGCGCTTCATGTATTATTTCCATCCATGCTACTGATTTGTCGATATTTTGTTGCGTGGTCTTGTGTTGAACATATTCTTTCCACAGGTAATGGTGGTGCAGGGAACTATCTTGGAGGAAACGTGGCCCCAGGGTCTTACGGACCAGGTATTGTTGGCGCACTAACATTCAAAGTCACATTACTTCGAAAGCATCCGGGTGTGAATGATGATGACGAATGTTTACGCACGGGCCAGCTTTAGGACAGGGAGGATACCTGGGAGCAGCTGGGAAACTTGGAGGTACACTAACCCAATGAGCTATCATCACGTCCTAAATGTGCCTGTTTTGTGTTTTCCCTTGCTAATTCGTACGCTTTTATGTCAAACACGTCAGCTCCAGCTGCTCTTGGCCAGGGAGGATACACAAAAGGTGTATCAACAGGTGAGGATTTGTTTGGATGCAAACGCCTGTGATGTATTTTTCTGTAGAAACCCAAAGTAGTGAGATTGTGTTGAATGGCAGGTTATGCTAACGGTGCAGGACCATACGGGGGTGCACTGGCAGGCAACGGCCTAGGTAAGAAAACATCAAACCAAAGATGGACATCCAAATGCATACATATTACTTTGTATTATTATTACTTGCCACATCTTTTGGCAGGTTATGGAAATGGTTACGCCAACCCGTACGGAGCTGGTGAGTACAAAAACAAACTTGATGGATTGAATTGAAATAAAGGAAATCAATTTATAAAAGGTCTGATGCATGATTATGATTACACGAGTCATGAAGGTGCAGTATGTGCTTCTGTCCACTAGATGTAGCTGTTGGAAAACTGTCCACTTGATTTTTTTTTTTTTAAAGAAAGTAAAGCCTCTTGGAATATTTGTTGCATGAATTGAAGTTTTTTCCCCCCAAAAATGAATGTAGTATAAACTGTTTTCCTCTTCCATTGGAAGTTATTCTCGCATCTCCAAAAGCATTACTTTTAAGGAAACAAAAAACTTTGTCGTGCCAGGTCAACTCAAAAGGCACACAAAAAAGTAATAAATGGCCAAAAGTTGGATTTTTTTTTTCTCTTCCCCCTCCCCTCCCCTCAATGTTGCAGCTCTGGGTACTGGAAGCTATGCTGGCCAGCCTCAGGTGCCATACGGTAAGACATTAAGCAGTTCAATAATGTCTGCCTTGCACTACACTAAGTATCTAAGTGTATAAAGTAACTTACGTTGAGGACCTTATCTGTTTTTCCAGGAGGACTCAGTGCAGGATTGGATCCAGCTGCTGGCAAGTATGGTGAGAATACTCGACTTGTTATGAGCATAGAAATGAATCCACTCATGAAAATACGACCACGAGAGTTTGTTTTCATCCTCTATAGGAGGCGCACCACCAGTAGCAGCATCTCAGGACCCTTATGGGGGCACTCCGCTTGCTCCTGCCCGACTTGAAGGTCACTTGTTTTTACGTTTGAACTAACTTGTTACTTTTTCGCAACTATAACCATGAACTTGTCTGCTCCTTTAGGTGATGGCGGCTCCCTGTACCCCTCCCAGCCCATCGGCCTCAGCGGCGACGGCAGCAAAAGCGCCAGCAAACACGGTGTGAATGAGCGATGGAAATCGCGGAAAAACATGCACTTTCGATGCACCTGACACACTTTCATTCAACTTGATGCCAGGAATCGACACTCCCTCTCAGTGATTCTCAAACTTTTTACAAATATCATCTAAAAAAATACCTGGCTCTCCAAATATCACCATCATATACAAAAAGACGATTGTAAACATTATTCACAGTTTGAACACAGTGTTTAAAAAACTGAGCTCAATAAAAACTACACCCTAATTACATTTCTGAAAATGTACTTAAAAGTTAAATACAACTGACCTGAACTGTGCAACATTAAAAATTAAGTTGATATCACTGCACAGTTTGAACATTTTACTCAGTGATTCACTATTGTGCCACTAGAGAGAGCCCGCTCAACACTAGTGACTAAAGTGACAATTTTGCAGTTCTCTGCACTTAATATTTTCGTTTTTCAACTCGAGGCATAACAAGCACATCCTGCAGCTGCTCTCCCCCAATAATTATGCAACAAAAGCCGTTTTCGAGTGGACACACTCCGCTTTAGAGTGCGGCAGAGCGAATTGTGCTTAATTTAATTCTGGTCCGAGGGATGTTTCCTCTCATTTTTCATTGATATTTTTCTTGATTTTAATGTTGTATGCTTGTATCCTTGTATGCTTTCACCATTACACAAAATATATTACGACGATTATTGCATGACATTGGGCCATCACTCAAAACAGGCCGATTTTGCGGAGGGCCTAAAGAAGGTCTAAACTGTATTTTGATCAAAGCACATTTTTGACCAGAATTATGTTTTGTGTGCTTTCAGGTTCCGCATATGGAGCTCCACAAGCAGGTGACTTTTCTCACTCTTCTCTCATCCCACCACATCATGTCGTTGTTCTGTGTATTAAATTCTCTCACGCTGCACTTGAAATCAAGTATATGGACTCATGCAAAGAATTAAAAATCTTATGTATGTTTTCATTTATTGTAACATCAAGGTCACTAAGTGTTTTGTGTGTGTTTACCAAGGCTACCTTGCACAGCCACTTGGCCCAAGTCAAGATGCGTTGGGTAAGCGGGACGCTAGTCCAACTTCCTCCTTCACAAGCAACTTCCTGGCATTGTAGAAAAATGCCACCATAAGTTTTCTCATTGGGCCAATGTGTTGAAACTTTGAGGAGAGCAGCATAGAGCCAAAGGAAGCTATTTTTGGTTTTCTAGTACTCAAGGGAAGGAAAAGAAAATTAGATTTTTGGTCAAATTTGTTTAGATCAAAAATATTTGTTTCTCCATTCAGGTCGTTCAAAGTAAAATAAGACTCGTTGCAGTTTCATTTAAATCACAATGCAGTCGAACTACTTGTTTGCCTGTGGTATTATCATGAGTGATTACATGATTAAAAACACACATCTATCAAGATACAAAGTGATAATCTGTCATTGAAATGGGAACATTAACAGCAGAATTGTCATGATCAACCAATAGCTTGTAACAATGCGACTAAAATGTACCATATTGATGTATATTGTTCCTGTTTTTCGACACATTATTTGGGGCTTTTTGTTTTTTCTTGTGAAGTGTTTTTTCTCTCTCTCTCTCACATTTCAAACCTTTTCCATTGTGAATCGCAGGGGCAAAAGCGTCCAAGTATGGCGCGGGAACCGGACCTCTTGGAGTTGGATACAGAGGTAAGAACGAGCGTTGTTTGAAAATAAGATAGTCGAACCCAAATATAGGGATGGGCAACTTTGATGGTGGAGGGGGCCCACAATTTATTATCAGTGCTACTTTCTAACCAGATGTGTGACAAAAATGCCGTTTTAAACATGGGCATAATATGTACTGGGTCTGGAATAGCAAAAATACAAGTACAGTATAATTGACTGCCATTAAAATGAATGGGGATGTTTTTTGTTTTTTTTTAACCCAAAGATTTCATGGGGTGGCACAGCTCTGTACAAGAGCGGTCGTCTTCCAACCCAGAGATTGTGGGTTCAATCCCCTGCCCCTGTGACCATGTCAAAATGTCCTTGCGCAAGTCACCAAACCCCCAGTTACCCCTTATGCTGCATTCATCAGTACATGAATCAGGAGTCAACGTGAAGCGTTTTGGACGCCTCGTGGGTGGAAAAGCGTGATGCAAGTGGAAGACCATTTACCGATTAAAAAAAAAAAACAACAACAATGAACCTCCAATCTGTGTTTTTCATGAGAAGAAATGGGCTCCACCCCCAGCCCCCACCACCACCCTTCACCCCAAAAAATAAATGTGCAACCAGGTAAATTCGTGGGTTTCCAACCATGAGTATGGAGGATCCACTGTAGTAGAGGAAATATGTTTAGAATTTTCCCCACCCCAAATTTGAAAGGACCCCCCCCCCCCACTCTCAATTTTAGTTTTCATTAATCAAGAGGCCACTCAGTGTGTGGCTCCAGGCCACATGTGGACCATGGCCTGCCAGTTGCCCATCCCTGCCAGTTGCCCAACAGTAAAACCCTAATTAAGTTTAGTCTCCAGGTTTCCTATTTGTACCTTACATGGAAGGTTTTGTTTGTCTCCTTAAAAGTAGTCTTCATAGTATAATTATCGTCTTTATCTCTGTCTTTGTCAGGTTGATTGAAATGGCCTGCTGGTTTACAGGTGGATTGTTTCTGATTCACTGATTTGTATTTTTTTTTTAAGTCTGTGTGTGTTATATTTTCGTAATCTTTATACGTAACAGACGTTTAAGCATTCACTCATTGGTCAAAGTGAAAGTGACGCTTTGAGTGGATGATTTACTTTAAAATAAATATGGACAAAACACACATTGCCTTTGTATTGATTCCATTTTCCCACGTGAATATAAGACCTAGAGACTTCATATTTCACACCACGTTTGCTTGCACGCATCGCTCATTGACGCCTCATTTGTTCACAGGAAATGTAACCACTTCCTGTCTCGTTGATGCAAGAAATTTAGTTTCAAAATGTCTCTTCCAATAGCTGAAAGCAGGAAAATAACCAGTGACACAAACAACAAGTTGGCAAAAATCTGCTTTAATTGCTGTAAAACTCTCTTGGTTTTTCTCATTTGCTTGTTTAAAGCACATCATTGAGACTCTGGTTTGTCTTTGTGCTCCAACCGTTCACAAAAACGCCCATCTTCTGCAGGGTAGCTTGTGGAACGGGATGAGCATGGCGGGACACGTACAAGCTCATCAAACTTTGACTCATAGGTGAAGGCTTGTAGGTGGTGCACGACCTGCCGCCCAGACTGGGTGCACAATTCACATCCCACTTGTAGAAAAACCTTCCGTGGCCCATGGCGCACACATCCGTCTTCACGCCTTCCGTCAATACTTGCTCGCATTTTCCCAGAAGATCGTCATCCCAGTTATTGTCCTGATCCCAAACCTCAAATGTGACTTTCGGTTCCACTGACAAGTCCTGAGTGCCCAGGTCCACGACGGTGCCCCAGTGGGGGTTGTTGTTGTTGTAAATGACAGGCGAACGCTGCTCTCGTTTGTTGAAAATCACCTTGACGTAGGCATCAGTGGCTGTGGTATGATCGCCCCAAAGACCCTGGGCCCGTTGGATGGTGATGATGACGCGGGCCATGCCCTTACGGGTTGGACAGCAGTCCGTGTTTACGCCATGTTCGTTGTGGCACTGGCAGACGCAGGGGTCCTGGGAATTGCTGTTGATGCCGGCCCGACAGCTCCCGCTGCAGTTCCTCATCAGAGTCCGCTCCAGGATGTAGTGACTTATGGCCAAGCGCAGGTTCTTTCGAACAGGACTGTTAGTCGGCACCAGCTCGTGCAGGGACCCCAGGGAATACGATATAATGTCGGGATAGTGAGGCAGCGTGTTGAGCCATTCCTTGTAGGCGGATGGCTCCTTTTTGGCAGAGAACAGGAGGTCCATTTCTGTTGTGCGACCTCCCTTTACATCTGTCAACCTGTTGGGGAAGACTGGTGTATGAGATGAGCCAGTTTATTCTTGCCTGATGGGTGCAAATACATGCAAAGTTACTGTGTTTTGTTTAGGCAAATCACGAAAGGTTATCTGAGGATACTTAGTGATTGCAAGCTTTGGAAAGTGACTGAACAGACAAAACCTGCAAGAACCTCCAATGAGTTTCTATTGAGAAGTAAACCAAGAGCTCGGGTGAGGGGGTTTGTTTGCCTGGGGCCACATTACCTGTCATTAAAGAGGCTGGAGAACTCTGCCTTTCTCTCTGTCTTCTCGATGTCGCTCTTGCAGTGTTTGGACTGAGCTTCTACAGTCGCTCCAATGGTGGCGGAAGCCTCGGCCTCCAGGCACATATTCACCTCGTCCGCGCTGAGGCCCTGCAGGCTTGCCTGGCACTGCTTGATGCTGGTCACGGACTGGACAGACCCTCCCAGTTTCACCTTGATTCAAAAGAATGGGTTTTTATTTCTATTGGTTTTTGTCAGCCACGTTCTACGGATTTGCTACCTTTCTGATGTAATGGGTGCCAAAGTCGCCGATCAGTCTGTAATAACGTTGCTTGTATTGAGGGCTGTAGGTCTTTGGGAGCTCCTTTAATGCCTTTCGAAATTCACTCTGCAGTTGAGCCTTGTTGGACACTCGGTAGCTATACACACCACAATGCAAAGAAAGAATCGTCGCTTTGGGAAAAACATTTGAATACAGAAAGTCTCAACCTTGTTACCTGTAGTACTCGCAGGAGATTTTTTGGCTGGCGAAGTTGTACTTGTCACTCTTTGATTTCTCCATTGCATACTGGGCCATTTTTGATTTGGTGCCAGCCAGCATGACTTTTCCCGCGTAATTCTTAACGTTCAATTCCAGACTGGATTTCCAGTTGTTTTCCACTGTAGAGGTGACGGAGTCGACGAAAGCCTCACTTGACCGATGAATGGTGCTGGCCACCTTGAAGTTGCAAGAATGCACTGCCCTCCAGTCCAACACGGACAGGGGAATCTTTTGCTTCACGTTCTCCAGGAAGAGATTGCTGCACAGGGTGCATGTTTTGTCCTTCCGTTTCCACCGATTCATGTCGAGAACAAACGCTCCTTTGCGCTTCATCTCTGTGATATCGAAGCCTTCCCCGGCCAGATTGGTACCTGGAGCCATGTCTGCCTGGAGACACTCCTTGGGGGAGCCTGTTGTGCAGTACTGATACGTGCCTCGGGGCAGGAACAGCGCAAGGAATGTACAAATATTCAATAGAATCATCTTGAGGTTGCCTCGGAAGCACACTGTTTGATCTGAAAAACAGACAAACGAGGAAATTTGACCGGGATTTTTCCGGACGGACACAATGTCTGTCTTCACGATGCACGTAGCATTCCTGGAATTCTTTGTAAAACCGGCTTGTTGAGTCGTCTTGCTTTCATGACATTGGATTGTCCTACGCCGTTTCAAACATTGAGCTTCGTGACGGTTACGTCTATGGATTCAAAAGAGGAGACTTGAGCTCTGACTTGGCTTACCAAAGTAATGACATGACTCGACTTGCTGGAAATTTAATGGAGACTTGCAGTAATCTGGGACTCCATTTAAACTCATGAAACTCATCATGTGACCTCTGATCATAATGAGCAAAGTTGTTTCAACTTGACTTGGAGGCAGAAATTATGGGAGTGTTTTTTTTTTTTTTGTTTTGTTTTGTTTTTTAGTTAGGACAGATTCGTTGGTCAGTATGCCTGACATAACGACACGAAACTATATGGCACACGCACACACACACACACACACACACACACACACACACACACACACAAACAAACAAAAAATCCCTTACAAGATCAATAGAACTATCAATAGCGTGCTTGCAGACTCACCTATGTCGTTCTTTTCTGTGCCGCTAAAAGTTCTCACTTTGTGCAAGACGGATGGATGAATGTGTCAAACTGTGCCTTAGCGTGTGACCTCATTGTTTTTCAGACAAAATTTTGTGGTGAGGGGGCGGGTGATAGTGGTCTTTTAACCAGAAGATGGTTGGCAGGAGGTTAGTGTTCCTGTCAACACAGTAACCGAGACCATGCACCCTCTTTCCTCTGAAGTTGTTCTCTTCATCAGGTTCTTGAAGGTGATAAACCAAAAAGTTTCTGGTTTCTTAAATGGGCAATTTGGGCTTTCACCGTTGCCTTCTCTTTTGATGCGTCCCGCTGGGGTCTATGATTGGTCCCCATCACCCTCAATGTCATCCCTAAGGCTACTGTACTGTGTGATTGTGCACAAGTACATAGACACATTAAAGGTGTCCGCCATGGTTCTATCCTTGGTCCCTATTTCTCCCAACTTTATGCTCACTTTTGGCGACGTAGTACATACTGTATACCCATTCGAAGTGTCCCCCAGGGTTCTGTTCTGTGTCCCCCTGAGGTCAGTCCTTGACCCCATTATAATCCCGCATCATCGTAAGAGTTGATGTGCTCTGTTATCGTGACATTTGTTAAAGGTGTTCCCCATGGCTCTGTCCTTAACCCTCAAGTGGGTGTACCCCCTCGGTCTTTCTTTGGTTGCCATTTGCTCCAACGTCATCCTGAATCGATTAACCCATGTAATATATTCCATCGATGAATTGAATAATCAGACAAATGATTTGGAGATAAAAGTTTATCGCAAAATAATTTCTCGCAATTAACTGTTTGTTAACCAATTCTTGGTGTTTTATTTGTTGTTGTTTAATGATTAAGCAAAACTAAATCAACAACATTTAAGCAAAATCACATAACCGGGACTGACATACTCACCCATTTTGGAAACTGAGAGCTTCTTCTTGAGTACTGATAACTGTGAAGGGCTATTAGTTCGACATCCAGTTCTTAGGCTAGTTCAGGTTCAACTACGTGTCAATTACAGGTTACTCATACTGTGCCTGCAAATAATATTATTTTCATAATAAGCGCATACTTATTTTTTCTATAAATTGTTTACTATTTATTTACTGGTTTCATCTGCAGCGTGTCAGAAAATGAAAAGAAATGTTGATCATTATTTTCCAAAGTAAAAGCAGATCATTTTGAAATGCCTTGTTTTGGGAACTACAAAAGATTGTGTCATGAAGTACGACACAAATAAGATAATTTTTACTTTTGAGCGGCTCAAATCAGGATTTGGACAATTTTAAGTGAAACAATGCTAATGTCGACCAAAATCATGGGCCATTGTCTTGTTTCTTTCTCAAGGTGAGGGTCGCTGTTTCAATCTTGTTTCGTTTTTAATGTGTTATTTTTCCAACCACAGACTTTGGGCCCAACTGTGGGTAACACAGATGACACCCCTCCGTTCTGACACAAACAAACATCTCAGGTCACTTATGTGTCATGAAGAGTCAGTCGAATTGGGTGAGAGGTAGAGTGATTCATCCACACCGCAGCGCTGCTTCGCCATTAGACGATTACACTGCGTCACCCACCCGTGTCCCACAAGGGCGCTCTCACTTTCCCGTTACAAGCATCAATATTTACCTGAAGCTTACAATTCTAGATCATTTTGTGCCATGTTAAATATAACGCAATCTATAGGATTATAGTTTTCCTTATTGATCCATTCCTACAATCAAATTACGATTGGACTGCAAGAAACTTTTAAATGTGAGGCATTTACTTGATGGATGCCTTGTAACGATTCGATTATGATTTTGGAATGGGCTCTGCTTTCACACCAAGGTTATTTTGAGGATGACTTAATCGTTCGTTTTCATGCTTGAAATGTCTTTTGTTGTTTCTGCGTGCATTTGTTGATTTTTTTTTGTCAGTTCAGACCACCATGGCAGCACATGTTAGACTTCCAGCTGTGACAAAAGGGCAACAATGACTCTTTTCAGTGAGGCTATGTCAATTAGAAGGCAAGCGGCATTGTCAAGGCGGTTGCAGTAACACACGACAGACCGGAATGTGTGAAACAATCCCTTCGCTGTAAAGTTTTTGTTGCTTCCCCCCCCCCTCCCCCCCTCTCTCTTTGACGTATCCTTGTTCAATATAGTTTTAGTTGTTTTCCTAATTTACACCTTTATTAATTGGTGACTTTCTGTACGTTTTGAAGTCGAAGAATCATGATTGTTTTGCCGAAACGTCGACGGTCTCGCTTATTTTAATGACTAGTCGGAAGTAAGTCGTTTTATCTTAGTGGCGCTTCACTTTTTTCATACTGAGCCTTTGCGGTGGATCCAAGGCCGCCTCGCGGGGGACGCCGCAGCCTCCAATCCAGCTCCAAAAGAAAAGACAAGAAACGCAAAGAAAAGAAAAACTACCATTAACCCCAGCGACGCTAATGATGGACATGTTTCTTGTGGAGAACTGGAAAGGTAGGGTCCCACTACCCCGCGGTGTCAGGAAGGCGGTAGCCCGGCGTCGCTAGCTCCAATCTCAGCTCCGAGATTCGCTCGTGTTTCCCGGTCCGACTTTCGAAGCAGCACCGGGACAGAGGCAGCTCAGCGCCACCGTACCTCCGGAATGCTAACGCCGTGAGCGTGGCTGCGGATGACCGCGGAGCTGCATGGACGCGCGCCCGCGCCGGTCGCCGGCAGCATCCGTGCCCGTGACGCGGCCGTCTCCCCGGCCGGGATGCTAACAACGAGGAAGTATCTCTGACATGAAGACGAGGCGGCTGTTGCCTTGTGTGTTCTGGGTGTGACGCTGACTTTGTCCCCATGACTCACCCGTGCGGACGTGGTCGTTTACGCGGCCGGCCGTGCGGCGCCCCAGCCCGGCGCATGACACTCAGCCAGGTACCGGCGAGCCCGGCTGGGGGCCAGCTTCCCCGACTGCGGTAGTAGCGAGACTCGAACAGACAAAGGGGAGTAGAAGCCAGCGATCGCTCGTGGAAATGGTGTCCCACAAGGTTCTCGTAGCCGTCCTCTTGCTCAACGTGTACATCGGCGTGCAGTCATTCCTGTGCTTGTTCGGCGGCGTGCTGCTGTCGGTGGTGTTCGCTTTGGCCTTCCTGAACGGACCGCGATTGCTGGACTGGGCCAGCTCCCCACCGCACCTGCAGTTCAACAAGTATGTTCTGACGGGTTACCGGCCCGTCTCTTCGGTGCAGGAGTGCATACGGAGTCTCTTCTACCTGCACAACGAGCTGGGAAACATCTACACTCACGGTGAGCACGCATTGATGGAACTTTTCGCTCCTACTTTATAATATTCCAGTGTACGCGTTCAAAGTTATGGTTGCAATGTTGTAGAACGTTGCCTGTATTGTCCAAGTACATACTGATGAGAAGATAAGATGGCGAGTTTGGAAATATTCCAAACTGGAAACTTTCAATGGGAATTAACCGGAGATGATCAATTAATCAAATTGAAATCAACTTCACAATGTAGTCGAATGCAATTTACAAATTCACGAGCTGCACTGCATAAAAGAAAACTGCTTCCTTATAGTCAAGGATTCGGTTTTATTTTTTTATCAATATATGTTTATTTGTGTTGTGGCTTGATGAGTTCAGTTCAATGCTTAGGAAGTACAGTTTGCATTTGTTTATTCAAACAAAGTGGTAAAGCCACATATCTTTTTGCATTATTGTTGTCATCTGATTTATGCTTTACCAATTTATGGTCATGCTGCACTTGTGTGGGATAGCTTTGTGAAGTTTTCACAGCGATAGCTTAAAGCACCTCATATCAGTGTTTTGTAAAGTAACTATCATGAAAATTCATGGTTCATAATCGCATATTAAATCGGAAGCCCTACTTTGCAGCATCCGCAGAATGGAGCATTTGTTGATACTGAGTTCCAGTGTAGCACTCGGAATAGACTTTCCCTGGCTTTGTGCGAGCATAACCGGTTTGTTTGAATGCTCCTCACCCACCAGGCATCCCTCTGGTGTGTTTCCTGGTGTTGCTGCCGCTCAACATCCCCTGGTCCCAGATCAGTGTGACGTGGCTGGGTGTGGTGCACTTCCTTGCCTGCCTGTCGCCGCAGCTGGGCTCGGTGCTCTACCACCTCTTCATGAACCACGAAGGCGGCGAGCCAGTCTACCACACCCTTCTCAAACTGGACGTGTGCGGCATTTGCATGATCAACACACTGGGTAGGCACCGGCTTTTTCCCTTCGCACGTATTCCAAACCACGCCAACACTTCTAATCACAATAATAATGATTGTCATACACTCACTAGTCAAAAATTAAATAAACACAACTTCCATGATATCATAAGTAAATCTATTCAATAAAAATACAGTTCAATAAAAAGTATATTAAATAATAAATCCCATGAAACAAAGTCCAACAAATGATGAGATGAAACAATTAAATAATATTTCTAAGGCTTATTTTATTTTTCCAAAAATAATTTTAGATCTCAAGGTACATAAAACAAGTAATCACTCATTTTTTGCAGTTAATGGGCACCAGAAACCCTCGCGAAAGGTGAAAAACCATGAAGTAGGATTTGAATTTTAAAACCTTATACAATAATTAAAATTCATCAGCATCGCCTTCTGAGAGAGGCGAAAAGGCTTGCATTAGTGGCATAGAAGGCGGCTCTCGCTTGGTTCGTACAGGCTATCGGGTCACTCAGAGGCTCTTCTGTTGGATCCGCTGATGGTGGAGCTGAGGTTTTTAAATTGGAGGAAAACATGGTGATGGGTAGCGCTATAATGTTCATCTTGTTTTTTAATCAGACAATAATCTTTTATTTTTTTTTTTAAGTGTCGAAAACTTTCCAACAAAAACCATCTCACTCTTAAAGGTCATTCATGTACTGCCGGCCGTAAAAATCCCTTCACCAAATCGCTTGGAAGTCTAAACGAGTCCCGTACACTAAATGTCCGTCATGTACGTTTGCCCGATTGCCATTTCAGGGGCGCTGCCGATCCTGTACAGCACCCTGCTGTGCTACCCGCTGATTCGCACGGCGGCGCTGTCCATCTACATCCTGCTGTCCAGCTACGGCATCTACTGCGCGGTGACGGCGCGCAGCAGCGTGCGGCGCCTGCGCTCCTTCGCCTGGCAGGCGCTCTTCCGCTTCTCCTTCTTCGTGCTGCGCTGGGCGGGCGTCGGCGGCGGCAGCCCCACCTCACTGCGCCACTTCCTCACCATGGACGCGTTGGCCGTGTTGGGCGGCGTCATCAACATCGCCCGCATCCCCGAGCGCTTCCGCCCGGGCCTCTTTGACTACTGGTGCAACAGCCACCAGATCATGCACGTGCTGGTGGTGGGCTCCATCCTCTACTTGCACTGGGGTGTCCTGGACGACCTGCTGTGGATCAACAGCTACAACTGTCCCTCTGACTGAGGCGGCCACCCAAAATCCAGAATGTTTGCCCTGTCCCCAGTGGACGGCCGAGTATGAGGAGATGCTGCAAAGCAGAGGTGGGGGAGCGACTCAGACTTAAGGCGCCAATTTTAGGACTTGACACTTGTTTGGTGACAACTTAGGAAAGACTTGACGTGTCCTAGATGTTGAACTAAAGTGAACCCCCATTGGTCACGATATAGAGGCAACACATGTAAAGCATTTTGATATAGTTTTATTTTTTCCATGCGTGCTAAACACAATTTTAGTCTGTTTTTGTGATCGAGGCCAAAGAAAAAAGTATTAAGTTGGTGGTATCCTAGTGTCAGGGAACTATGTTGAAATGAGTTGAGGTGTTTCATTTGCAGAAAAATAGAGATTTGGCGCCACCCTGTGGCATTTTAGAGTCAATGGACTATGTTAAAGTGAATTAAGGAGTTTCTTTTACAGGAAATATATTCCTTTGTCGCCATCTCGTGGCATCAAGGTGTCAAGGAACTAGGTTGAAATGAGTTGAGGAGTTTTATTTAGAGGAAATTAGTGCTTTGATACCATCCAGTGGATTTTTTTGTGTCAAGGAACCATGTTGAAATCTGTTAAGGAGTTTCATTTTGCAGAAAAATAGGACTCCTTCGTCATCTCATGGCATCTTAGTGTTAAGGAACAATATCAAAGTGAGTTGAGAGCTCCATTCAGATAAAAGTTGTTTTGCCAACACCTTTTGGCAGCTTAGTGCCAAGCAAGTATGTTAAAGTGAGTTGAGGAGCTTCATGTAGACAGTACTTTCCCACAGTCTTGTAGCCTCGTGACATGACGGACCTACAGTACGATGAAATGGGTTTCGGCGTTTCATTCTGGGAAAAAAAAAATACTGCTTTGCATCCGGCTTGTGGAATCCGAGAATCAAGGTTCTTCGTTCTAGTGAGTTGAGACTTTAATTCAGATAAAAATCATGCTTTGCCGCAATCTTGTGGCATTAATGTTGAGGAGCAATATTGAAGTGAGTTTCGGAGTTTCGCCTGGACAGAAAGTGTTTTGCTGCCATCCTCTGGCATGTTGGTGTCAGGGAACTTTGTTGAAGTGAGTTAGGAAGTCTCATCTCGACAAAAATAGTCTTTTGCCACTATCTTGTGTCTTCTTGATTTCAAGGATTTCAAGGAACTATTTTGAAGTGAGGTGAGGAATTTATTTTAGAGGGAAAATAGTGCTTTCCTGCCATCCTGTGGCTTCCAGAGGCAATTACAGTACACAACCAAGTGTATTTAATGTGTGATGAAATGCAAGCTTGTCTAACCTGACTCATGACTTTATTCATCCGAGCGACGACCTGACTCAACCTGCCTCAAATTTGGTGGAGACTCAATTTAACTAGATTATTTTGATTTTTTTTTGCCACAGTAGCTTGGAACTTGCTTAAAAGATGAAGCATAACACTGGAGACTTACGACTCGTATGCACAACAGTGTGCGTGACTTCCTCCCACCTCTGCTGTAAAGTCACACGGTCGTCGAGGTCACCGAGGACGTTTTGTTTTTATTGGATGAGTGCGGCAGGCTGCGAGACGGCCATGTGGCTGCTTATGTGTCCATATCAGCTACATCATCACCATGCCCACTTTGATTTAAACGTTAAGAGAAACATGTTGATTGTATCTAACACAGCACACGACACTTTGTTGCGTTTCGAACAGTATATCTCAAAATGGGACAAAATGCTACTTTTCTGTAGGTGGCGCCGCCACAGCGGAACCGCTGAAGTCGAATTCGGGCTCTGGCTTTATGATGTGTTCGGAGGTGTTCACGACGTAAAGATTATCTGTTAAAACAGTAGAAATTGATGATGATTAGGGTTTTTTTTTTTTAACATACTAGAGTAAAAAATAAGTAACTGTTAAAACCCAAAAAACAGTCGTAACTTTGCCCCACTCTGCTTGTTTTCTTTAATCAATTTTACAAGTGTAAAACACTTTAAGTGTCCTACGTTTTCAAAATGCAGCTCAGGTTGCTCCTTGAGGAATGACTGACACCAAAAAAGTCAAAGAAAAAGGCAAAATAACGAACGTCTGCCTGAAAAAGGTTCCGCTGTAGTGCACTTTTGTCCAGAAAAAGATCCACAGTCCTGCTTTGAAAAAAAAAAACAAACAGAAAAACATCATCGACCAGCATAATTTTGGTTTGTTTTTGTGCTGATCTTGCCTGTGAAGCCAGCAAGACCAGTATGAAAACACATCAAAACCGCATGTAATTTTTGGGGTGAGGGAAGATACAAAATGTACGCATTTTTTTTAATTTTTAGAAATTTAATTTTTTTTTTGTTTACACGCATTCTTACACTGGATACACTGCGTTTTTGTTTTGGGATGTACGAATGTACATACTTGCAAAAAAAAAAAAAAAAGTCACCTGTTTGTATCATTACACTCACGTCTCACTTTGTCAAATTAGCACGCAGACGCTAACATGCTAACGTTTCGATTTTTTTTTTTTTGTTTCAGTGCATGAGAGTCGCTAGCAAGTTAGCTCGAGGTTAACCTGGCCGTTCATTTCTTTGCTCTCAAAGGGCTCAGAGTCCATCGACTTAATGTAAGTAGATCATGTATGTAAATCATGTATACACACGAGCAGTATCACTTTTAGAGAGAAAATGGACGCTAGCGCAAAGTAAATCTATGCATAAGTCAACAACAGGGAGCATGGTTACATGCTCTATGTTCATTCCCACCTCTCAGGGTGCCGAAACGGTAGCGGAAGACCATGCCGAGTCTTCTGTCGTTAAATAATTGACACCCGCGCCGTGTTTTTTGGCACATCATGGTGCGAGACGGAAAGTGGAAACCGTCCACAAAATTGCCTCCTGGCGGCACCGCAGGCCAACAGAGTTGTGCTTTTTAAAATATATGATCAGAATATATGACAGGTGTGCGATAGCCTGTTGGTTTCTCAAGGGAAATGCTCATTTATTATTATTATAGTATTGAGGATTTGATGGACTGCTGCTCCACCGAGGAGCTCCAGGTTGTGCCATTTTTTTGGGGTTCCGAGTGGAGCGTCGTATCTATAAACTGTTTCCGCCCCAGTCTCGATTGTGCAATAAACTGAAGTCTATATTTGTAAATGTTTGCTGATGTCTTCTATTTGGAGAATCCTATTGCTTTGACCAGTGTCAAAATTCAAGGTGGCAAAAAAACTAAATCCGGGATGCTTGAGTTTTACCATCAATTTGGCACTATTTTAAAGGCTTTAAAATCAAGAGTCCAGATATAACAGTCAAAAGTCTAGAATCTAAAGTCAACTGTCGAGAATCAAACGTTAACAATCATGAAAAGTCAACATTTAAGAGTTTAGAGTCCAAAGTCAAGAGTGAAGAGTCCAGAATCAAGACTCTGGTGTTAAGACTCCTGAGTAAAAAAGGTCCAGAAATATGCGTTAAAAGTCAAGAGTTTTGCCACAATCATAAAGAGTCACGAATCTAATGTTTAGAAATCCAGAATCAAGTCATGAATAAACTGTCCAAAACCAGAATCAACAGTTTGAAGACAAAGACTTGCCAATCAAGAGCTAAGAGTTTATAAGCTTGACTCCAGAATCAAGAGTCTCATCATATTCAAGACTGGCAGTTGCGGTGCTGAAGCCAGCGTCCAGGTTGATTGTCATCTTTCGCCTTCACTTTTCCATCACATTTTCACCTATTAACATTCAGTTTCAGCACAAAACGTTTACAACCCAAGAAATTAAAAGCTGTTGATTTTTGAAAGACGCATTCAAGAAACAAGCTCATATCTTTTTTTTCCCCACATACTGTTTTCTCGGAATATGAAAGCTATTGATTATTATTCTTCAATGTCATTGCAAGAACGTGTTAGATTTTTCAAAACATTTATTGATGTCTTTTTTTAATAACTTTTGGAGCCTTGTTAATTTTGACGTCCTTTCAACACCGACATCCTGGTCTGGGTGCTATGAGCTCCCCGCCTACTTCCTGCCACACTTCCTACCCCGCAGCTGGCCTTTTTTGGCGGCGTTCATCAACTTTCTTCTTCTACTTCTTCTTCTTCTTTTGCTTCCTCTTGCTGCTCATTCCGGCGACTGCTCCACAACGACAACCACCAGCACAAAGGCCCCTCGCCACCTTCACGACTACCAACCACCAGGTAGGCCTTCATCATCATCGTCATCACCATTATGCACCTGCCATTTTTTTTTTTTGTGTGTGTGTGATGGTTTCAGCATGAGTGAGTCCATTTTTAAGACCTAAAATGACTGTATTACATTTTTGGATATATTTGCAGAATTACTATATATGATTGACGTTTGGGAAAGGGTGACGGGGTCATATTTGAGTGCTAATTATAACAGCTCCCGAGATTTTTAGTGGTGTTTTAGAGCCTGAGAATGCACACACTCGCCCTCATTTCAAACAACTCCAACGTGATGAACACGAGAAGCTGTTTCGTTAGGTCGTGCCTGTTAATTAAGATTCTGTTGGGGGTTGGGGGGGGGGGTTGTGCAGCCACTTTTGAATGAGAACAAGCGTTTGTCTGAAGGAGGAAGTGTGGCGGTTAAGTGACAACACCACACCATCTCTGAGGCCAACAAAAAGGATCATTTTTTGTGTTGGTTTCACCTCTTAAAGAAGTCTTTTTTTCCCCTTTTATGATATGTGCATTTTTTGATGATATACAAGCAGTGAAAGAAGAGAAAGTAGTTTGTGAGGTATTGATCTGGATTTAGAGTAATTTCAAACAACTAGAATTGTCGCGCTTATTTTGTGGCGCTGTGCATCACTCTATATGGAGAGAGCGAGAGAAAGTGCACGCCCTCCCTAGTTTGCCCACCTCACATTTCAAACAATTAGACTTCGAGCTGCTGTTTTGTGAGGGTGTGCATGTAATTATTTAACGTGGGATTTTGGCAGTGTGTGTGCAGGAAGAAGTGTTGTGGTTTAACTGACAACACAGTAGCGCCCTGGAAGGCCTTCACGGAGAATCATCTGTATCATTCATATGTCGTTGTGTTTTTTTTTTTTTAACCTAAAGTGTCCATTTTCCCCTCTGTGTGCATTTTGTGTGTGTTTTTTACAAACACGCTCACAGGCAGAAAAAAAAAAGAAGCGGATGTAGTTGTGAAAGCTGGCTCCGCTTCCTCTTTCACGTCGCTCATAAATGGCCTCATCACTGATGATTGGCTAAAAAAAAAAAAAAGTCACAGTAAAGATGTTTTTTTTTTTTTTTTTTTGGTTGATTCCTTCTAGGTCACCGCCATGTCGCGGCAGGTGGTGCGCAGCAGCAAATTCCGCCACGTCTTTGGCCAGGCAGCCAAGGCCGACCACTGCTACGATGACATCCGCATATCCCAGATGACTTGGGACAGCAACTTCTGCTCTGTCAACCCCAAGTTTGTGGCCATGATTGTCGAGGCTAGCGGCGGCGGCGCGTTCATGGTGCTTCCCCTCAACAAGGTGCAATCAAACGTATATTTGTCCCCTTAATGGCCACCGTACTTTCCGCAGCATTATGCTAGCAAACTAGCTTGGGCAGTATCTAGCCATGAAACGTCATAACTCACCTTTGTGACCTCTTTTGTCCAGTGGCGGGCCGTGCATTTCAACCTTAGGCCTTCAGTGACGTCACATACATGAACACAATACTGTACAGGCTCGTCAAGCAGCACTTAATTTCAGGAGCATTTAAAACCATCAAGTATGCATTCACAATTAAGAGCAGGAAACTACATTTACAGATAGTCAAAAATAAAAAGATGATTTAAAAATA